CACCACATACCAACAAAGATGTTGTGTCCGCCGAGAACTAAAAAATAAATATTAAAAAAATTCTCTCTCTCTCTCTCTCTCTCTCTCTCTCTCTCTCTCTCTCTCTCTCCTCTCTCCCTCTCTCTTTAAAAAAAAAAAAAAAAGTTGAGCTGGGCATGGTGGCACATGCCTGTAATCCCAGCAGCTTGGGAGGCTGAGGAATTCAAAGCTAGCCTCAGCAAAAGAAAAGGGCTAAGCAAGTCAGTGAGACTCTTGTCTCTAAAAAAAAATACAAATAGGGTTGGGGATGTGGCTCAGTGGTCGAGTGCTCCTGAGTTCAATCCCCAGTACTCTCCAACATCAAAAATAATAATAATAATAATAATAATAATAATAATAATAATAATAATTTGGCCATAAAAATGAGTATTTATGGACTCTCTCTATTCTGTTGGTCTATATTGGCTGTCTTTATGCCAGTAGCACAGTTTTTTTTATATTTATTTTTTTAGTTTTAGGTGGACACAATATCTTTATTTTATTTTTATGTGGTGCTGAGAATCAAACCCAGTGCCTCATGCATGCTAGGCGAACATGCTACCACTTGAGCCACATCCCCAGCCCCACAGTTTTGATTACTGTAGCTTTGTAGTAAGTTTTGAAATTAGGGAATTGTTCTTCTTTTTCAATAATTTTTGGCATTTGAGGTTCCCTGAGATTACATATGAATTTTAGGATGAATTTTTCTATGTCATTGGGATTTTGGAGGAGATTACATTTAAATCTGTAAATTGTTTTTAGTGGGGTTGCTACCTTAACAATATTAAATCTTCCAATCCATGAACATGGGATGTCTTTCCATTTATTTTTGTCTTTTTAAATTCATTCCAGCAAGTGTGTAGTTTCAGTGTACATGTGTTTATAAATATTTTATTCTTCTTCTTCATGCTATTATAAATGTAATTGTTTATTTAATTTTCATTTCAGATTGTTAATTGTAAGTGTATACAAATGCAACAAATTTTTGAGCATTGATTTTGTATCTTGCAACTTAGATGAATTAATTATTTATTCTAACAGCTTTAGGTTATTTGTTTTTAAAATTAATGTCCTTTTTAATGTTTATTATATCTAGACAGGAGTCTCTGCCTGTCCTGGATATTCCTTCACTCAATTTTTTAGTTAGAAGAAGCCAAGCAGGCTTCTTCTGCACTCATCACTAATAACACCAGAGGAGAAGTGCTTTGCTGCCACCAGCAGGACTTTTTGAGATGGTATTTGGACAGAAAGGTGAACTAGTATTTTCAGGATAGTTTTAATAGTTGATACTCAAAGGCTGAAACCTTTCCCTATTCTGTCCCTACAATCATGACATCCAATTAATATGGAGGGGAGTGGGTGTGAAGGGTTTAGAAACCAGAAACTTGGACACCTGAGGCACAGCCTCCTTTCTTGAACATCATCCTGGTTCCCTTTCTAAGGAAAATGAGTTCTTTACCTATTAGGAGTTATTTACATATTAAATGAACTAGACTAACTCTGTGTGGATTTAGGGGCTCTCGAACCTGTTATTTTTTGTATTAGAATTCCTGACTCACATGACCACTGTGCCAAGGCAGTTTCATGGAGGAGCCTATGGGAGCCTAAGCCACTTGTTTAGGGTTTAAAAATGATTTTAGAGAAGAACAAAGAGTACACACTAACTGAAAACAGGAAAATGCAGTTATACCATTCAACTATATGGCTTTCCAATCCTACAGTACTGGGGATTGAACCTACTCTCTTCTATGTCTCATCTCCAGACTGATGATGCCTTCTAATTCCTTCTACTCAAGGGAGGTTGAGCCTCCATGTTTGATATTCCCATTTTTCTAGGGACCTACCCACAACCCATGGGATGTTTTTATTCAGACCTTCCTGACCTGCCCCTTGTAGTATCCTCCCCCTTGTTCCCCTGGCACTGGGGATTGAACCCAGGGCCTTGCACATGCTAGGTAAATATTGAGTCACATCCTCAACTCTTTTTATTTTGAGACAGTATCTCACTAAGTTGCCCAGACTGGCCTTGAATTTGCAATCCTCCTGCYTCACCTCTGGAGTAGCTGGGATTACAGGCATGAACCATCATGCCAGATTTGTAACATCCYCCCTTTACCAAACTGGTAGAATTTGACCTAGAGGAGATGATCAATCCTGTATGTAGGCATCAATCAGTTCCACATCTTCAGGGATGTGGATTTGGAGGCTACTCTCAAGTACAGCCTGTACTTTCTTTGATTGGGTCTCTTGAGAAACTTATTCCACTATTTTTGGATTACCTGAGGTTCATGGTCACTGTGACCCATTGCATTCTCCTGTCAAACATTTTCAAATTTCCTGTGAAGTAGAAAAGACAATTCTACATCCGATTTGATACCTAGGAAATAGGCAACATAGATCCAAGCCCATCGTGGGTGATCATTTCAGTGTCAAGTCCTATATAGCCCAGTAGTACAGAACCATAGGGTCAGTACCCTGACATGAAAATGGAAATTCTTAATTCAGTATAGTCTCATTGGAGAAAAAGGATCAGAGAATTTCATGGATTATTACATGAGCTTCAACTGACCATCAGCAGCAGAAAAAGCAACAAGGGGAAGCACAAATGAAGGCTCAGATCATTACTGTCCATACAAATCTCTTTCCTTTGTAGGCAGCTTCATCTGAACCTGTGATCTCTTTCCTTACAWAGGGCTAACTGGATTCTGGTCCATGTGGTGTGACATCTTATCTGGGTGCCAACAACATCTTATAGACCCTATCCAATGATACAGCTACACTATAAATTGGAATTCTGTGAAGCCCCTTGTGACTCTGGAAGTCCCCAACATCTTCTCTAGTCTCTTCTAGGCCTTCTGCTGCTACATTGTCATATTTTAGTGTCAGACCTAAGAACATAGACTTCTGGGGTTTGACTCTTTGTCTAAATAGACCTTGTTCCCCAATGTCAAGGCAAAATAATGAACATCATATTGGTCAAGGGATTCATGAAAGACCTTTCCTGTTCTCTCAGGTTTTGAACAGGATGATCTCAGATCCCCCTGCACACTCTGGCACTCTATTCTTTATCATCCATGTTAATGGTTTCAAAGGGCTTTCCTTTGAGCCCCCTCTATGGGGTTATAGGAAAAGATTAAGCGGGAGGGATTTTAGTCCCCCTTTTCTGGTTTCAGTCAGAGCAGTTCTACTTTYCCCCTAAATTTTGAGCCTCATCCTGAGATTTTTATTGGAACAATGTATTCCACCACTTAAAAAAAAAAAGGTTGAGAAATCAAAGATCTGTTTCAAGGGCACTATTCTGTGGCTAACACTCCCAGAAGCAAAGAACACTCACTGGATTGTACGCTCACCACCAAAGGTCAGCACCTCCTTCAGAATTTCAGCCATAGGTGCGTTATCCATTCCCTTCCACACAGGATCACCAGGCAGTACCCCTCTCTGGACAGAGAGTGGATTCTGCTGAAACATATTCCTCCTGCCACATATGAACTGCAGCCTCTGCCCACCACACAGACACAGCATTGACAAACATTTTAGGATCCCCAGGGCAGCTAAGGCTGAACCCCAAACAAACCAGGTGAAATATGGACACACACATAGCCTTGTTGACATTCCCATTGCTAACTTTGATTGATCTATACTTCCATTTCACTGTCTTGGACTTCAATCTGTGACCCCTACCAGACTTGTTTTCTCTGCACACAGAATTCAAGGACCCTATATGCCCAGCCAAGTTTGGCAAAGAGTAAAGGAGTTTTGGATGGATTTTTCTGAGCTCTAAGATCTGAAGATGAAGCCCAAAGCTAGATTCCCACCCATACCTTCTCTTCTAACATATATCACTCCATACATAGGCAAGCCCCATCCCAAATTCAGAGGTTTACTTTAGTGTAAAGAGGAAGTAGACTTAACCAGCAGGGTCAGTGGTCTGTACCCTCTATCCTAGAATCCTGGATAGTGTTGCAGAGGCCTAACTTGATATATGTGCAGTTAGTACCTGGTTTCTAACCCCAACCTTTGAGTTTTCTTTAGGGGACACAGACTTAGCTTACAGTCCCTTTCCTGCAACTCYACCACTCCCATAGCCAGTGTGGGTATACAGAGGGATCAGACTTATTTTTAGGTGGTCATCTAGGTCTATAGGCAGAATTTGTTTTCCCATAGCATGAACACTTGGAGGAAAGATCAGGCAAGAGGACAAGGGAAGTCATGGAGGGGTTAACAGGTTTCAGAGAAGGCTCTGGAAACTAGGAGAGGGRATGGATTGGTAGAAGTGGGAAATAAGGAAAGGGTTCAGACAATTCATCAATTGTAAAGGGGCAAATGCTAATCTTGGAGGCTCAGAAACCCAAGCTTCCTCTATAGGCCCTTGGGAGACAAGACCAGGTTGGATTTAGTGCTGGTGGTAAGGATTCATCATTCCACTGCTCAGTGTCTTGAGGATGAGGTAGTATAATAAAACAACTGTTTTCTGCTCTTTTAACTCACAATTCTCCTTGATTTGAGCAGGAAGGGACATTGATTCTAGCCTCCAGGCTGACCGGCAAAAGTGTACATCTCTGGACCCAATCTGAATACAAAGGCCTTCTCTGAGTACCCCTCCCCTAATATCTCTAGGAAGGTCTGAAACAGCGTCTCCCAAACTAATAGAAATGCTAAACATAAATTGATGCATATAAGGATCTGATGGCTCAAAGGTATCAAGACTATATCACTCCCCACAAGAGCAAAAATGAATCTTTCTGGGTTTCTCCAGGACCCAGGTTTTCCTGATGGAAATCTGAGCTGAGTTCCTTTCCTCTAGATTGGCCTATCTTGCTCCTTAAAGAGACCCAAACTTGGAGCCCCAGGGCCTTCTCATTTCCAACACTTCTTCCCTAAGAGCTAGATTGGTTAGCTACTTTCTTTCCAAGCTCTTCAATCTACTCTGGGGTGTCCAGGAAGATTTAGAGTCCCCAGGTCATTCATGGCTTTGTCCCCAGAGGACCGGAAGCTGTTTGTGGGGATGCTGGGCAAGCAGCAGGGTGAAGAGGACGTCAGACGCCTGTTCCAGCCCTTYGGTCATATTGAGGAGTGCACAGTTCTGCGGAGCCCTGACGGGACCAGTAAAGGTGACATGAATTACCCACTGGGATTACCTGGTGACCTTTTCACACTCGGGGCCACATGATCCTTTGGCCTCTGTAGCCTGAGCCACCCATCCCTCTATCCTGCCCCAGGCTGTGCCTTTGTCAAGTTCGGGAGTCAAGGGGAAGCTCAGGCGGCCATCCAGGGTCTGCACGGCAGCCGGACTATGGCGGTGAGGGCGGGTGCCTGGGCCGAGGGTGAGGCCAGTGGGGCGGGACRGGCTTCTCCTCCCCCATGAGCTCGGTACCCTGGGTCAAGGGCCTGATGGGGAAGGCCCTTGACCYAGAGACTGGGCTGGTATCAGGACCAGTCACTGCGGCCTACCCTGCCCTACTCTGTCCAGGGCGCCTCGTCCAGCCTCGTGGTCAAGCTGGCAGATACAGACCGCGAGCGAGCRCTGCGGCGAATGCAGCAGATGGCTGGCCAGCTGGGTGCCTTCCATCCCACACCACTGCCACTTGGGGCCTGTGGCGCCTACACCACAGCGGTAGGTGCCTGGCTCAGGCAGCACCGGTGGGCAGGTGGCTGGGCCAGGTTAGGGGTTTGGGAACCAAGGCAGCTGCCGGTTGCAAAACCCTCCAACATGTCCTTGTTACTTCCCAAAGATCCTGCAGCACCAGGCAGCCCTGCTGGCAGCTGCACAGGGCCCGGGCCTAGGCCCTGTAGCCGCAGTGGCAGCCCAAATGCAGCATGTGGCGGCTTTCAGCCTGGTGGCTGCGCCACTGTTGCCTGCAACAGGTATGACTCTAGCACCCTTGAGCAGCCACTGGGAGGGGTGGGATGGGCCACAACCTGACTCACTTACCTTTTTCACTGCCAACAGCCAACTCCCAGCCTGGCAGTGGTCCTGGCACTCTCGCGGGTCTTCCAGCGACCATTGGGGTCAATGGATTTGGCCCATTGACTCCCCAGACCAACGGGCAGCCAGGCTCTGACACGCTCTACAATAATGGGCTCTCTCCTTATCCAGGTGGGCCACCCCACCCGACTCTGCCCAAATCTCCCTTCAGTGGAGTAAGGAGCAGGGAATGGGGGGCAGGGCCTTGCTTTGGGGAAGGGGTTCCTATTATCCCTGCTGCCTCTCACAGCAACCCACCACCTCCCACACTCCCCGAGTCTCTCACCTGACCCTGCCCACTGGCCTTCACCGTGGGCCTTGCGCCCCTCTCTCCCCAGCCCAGAGCCCTGGTGTGGCTGACCCCCTGCAGCAGGCCTACGCTGGGATGCACCACTATGCAGGTTTTGCTTGGCGCTGCGCGGCCTGGGGGGGTTGAAGGGCCCCAGAAAGAAATAGGGAGATTTGTGGGGAGGTTTAGTGTCTGTTCTGAAGAGTCAACCCTCCTTTCCAACTCATCCCAAATCTCAACAACCTCTCTTGGGACAAGGGTTATGGTGGACTGGGTTGAACTGATCAGAAATGGCTGGGGTCCTGTTTGGGGGATGGCTCCAGGGGATCATTGCCCACTCCCACCTCTGTCTCCAGCAGCCTATCCGACGGCCTATGCCCCAGTGAGCACAGCTTTTCCCCAGCAGCCTTCAGCCCTACCCCAGCAGCAAAGAGAAGGTGAGGGACTGGGGGCTGGAGTTCAGAGCCTGGGTGGGGTTGGACTCAGGGTCCCTTCCCTTAACCAGCCTGCTACTGTTCCTTCAGGCCCAGAAGGCTGTAATCTCTTCATCTATCACCTGCCTCAGGAGTTTGGTGATGCAGAACTCATACAGACATTCCTGCCCTTTGGGGCCGTTGTCTCTGCCAAAGTCTTTGTGGATCGAGCCACCAACCAGAGCAAATGTTTTGGTGAGCTGAGCCCCATACCTTGGCTTCTCCCACTCCTAGCCTCAGAATTCCCTTACAGACTCTACAATAAGGCAGTGATTTCCAGTAGCTGAATATGTGGCACAAAGTGGGGTCACAGGCCAGTGATGGAGGCTAAGCCTAGACAAAGAACAAACCTTCTTTCATGTTCACCTGGGAAACTTAGGTGTCTAGAATGTATTCAACCAGGTCAGAGCTTTGGAGTTTGACAAGAGCCAGAATCATCTGGTTCTGGGACCAAAGATACCCTCCAACTCCAACTGCAATTCCAAGGACTAGAATGGGAGTAGTAGAGGGAGACAGCCAATCCAAGCAGGGAAAGACAGGAAAAGACCCAACCAACACACTGCCCCACTTGTCCCACAGAGTTATCTCCCATTCTTCCAAGARTCACGCCTTAGGAATCTCCAACCATCTGCATTTATGGGCGTGCTTCTTATGTATATTGCATGCACACATGTAAAAATGGAGAGGTATTTGGAACTGGCCTGAGGAACTTGGGAAATGAGGGGGTTGGTTAAAAAGAAAGGAGGCCCTGCTAGGCAGGTTTAGCAGCTAACCTCTTTGCCCACCCCCATGCCCAGGGTTTGTTAGTTTTGACAATCCAACCAGTGCCCAGACTGCTATTCAGGCCATGAACGGCTTTCAAATTGGCATGAAGAGGCTCAAGGTCCAGCTAAAGAGGCCTAAGGATGCCAACCGGCCTTACTGATCTGCTCTCACTGACTAGCCACAGAAAGGTGAGTCTCAGATGGATGCCAGGCAAATGGGATAAAGAGAAGAGCCAGGACTAGAAAGAATCCTTGGATGGAGAGTTTTTCCTTCATTCTAAGGACCGAGATAAATTAGACAATATTCCTGTCTCCATAGGCTGGGAGATACACAAAAGGCCCTAGAGAGGGCTCTGAGAATGAGAGTTTGGCTAGTTTTTAAARAGTCTTATAGCCTGTGTTCTGACTTTACACTGAAGATGGTAAAGAACCATTGAGGAGTTTGAACAAAGAAGAGACAAGATATAAGGGCTGAGGTAATGACAGTGAACTCGGAGATGAGGGGAGAGAATCAAATATACTCAAGAGGCAGCATATGCAGGCCAGGTGGGTGATGGACAGAGAGATGACAAGTTCTAGTCTCTGGCCAGGTCATGGGTCCTTAGAAGGCTGTCTGCAACTTTTAGGGGTGTGCTCACTATCCCTTAAGGTCCACCTGGCCTTGCCTCACTTATACTGCTCCAGGAACCCTTTGCAGGGGCATTGGGAGTCATCTGCCTAAGACCCAGGATCTGGCATTGGTGTACCAGGATGCTGCCAAGAAGAGAGGTCTAGCTACTCATCTACATTGTCATTAAGCAGGCGGGCTGCTCTTGTCTTTCCCTCTACGGTGATTTTTACCTYCCCCCTCTCTCCTTATCAATTAATACCCAACAACAGAAACTGACGAGTGAGAAGAAAGGGAAGAAAAAGCACAGAAACCCTGGAGCAGCCCTTCCGGAAGGAGCAGCTGCAGATGGAAGTGGATCAGACCTGAGGCTGGYGCCTGGGGCTCACGCCACTCAAGGATTGTTCTTATCAAGTGGGTTGTTCTGCACCTGTGGCAGAGAGCTCAGGTTGTCAGGGCAACCAGGACTGGTTGAGAACTGACTGGGGAACCAGCAGAGGGCCTTGGGGGTGCCAAGGGCTTCTCTCTACAAGGGAAGCCCAGATTTACTTCTTTCAAAATCATATCATTCCTTAGAGTTTAGGGACCAAAGGACTATTGCTTTTTTTAAGAATATATATATATATATATATCTATATCTATATAAATTAAAACAAACAAGAAAAAACACAAGAGAAATAAAAAAAGACAGTATAGAGTCTCATAAAAGCTGCCTTTAAATATCCCTAGGAGACAGGGTGAAGGAGACCTTTGATAGCACCAGCCTAGGCAATGGGAGGCCATGGAAAGATTGTCTTGTGTCTCATCCCCTCTTAAACCACTCCCCCACCCTTCCCTTTTCAAGATAATTAAGGACCCAAGAGGTCCAGGCTCATAAAAAGAAGGTTATGGAAGCAGTGAACCCATAATCTCCAATCTCCAGCCTCAGAGGTCAWCCCTGAAGAGGCCCCAAGAGGGGTTCAGGCCTGCCTTGGTTCTGTCATCCTACAAGGACTCCTGGGCAGCAGAAGTGATAACCTCCCTTTCCTTCTCAATGGATTCTCTCATGGAACCACTGCTTCCCCAAGAAGGAAGAAAGAGGGAGTTTTGGCCACATGAGCTTTTTTCATCCCAGTCAGTCCAAATAGACAGAGGCCTTGCCTTTGGCTGAACTGAGACACCTCCTATTTCTYCTCCCCTTGAGCCAGCCCCAGTGTCCCCTTGCTCCAGGCCACCTTCTGTCTCTTAAATTTCCCTACCTATAAAGTAGATTCAAAATATACATAGAGGGCTGTGACAACAGACTTGGAAGGTTTGCTACTGTATATACTGCCATTGAGAAGGGGATAATTTTCAATATGTAGAAGCTTCAGAATTAGGGGTCCCTGTTTACCCAGGACCCGGGAGGGAAATAGATGTTTTGCCAAAATACTTCTTCATTCCTTTAAAAAGTACATCTTTCCTATGCAAGAGTGTCTCATATGTGCTTATCCAAGGTGCTTTTAGATGGTGAGCAGTGTTCAGCTTAGAAGTGGTGTGTGCTCTGTCTGTCCGTCTTTGTCCGTCTGTTGTATCCAGTGGGTGCCATATAAAGCTGATCAATGGTGGTGCTTCCTGCCTGCTTCTGTGAGATGGGCAAAAGATTCCGCTTAGAAAACCGTGATTCACCTTGCCTTGATCAGTCTTTCCTGTGCCCACAGGCCCTGCTCATATTTTTCCAGGGGGATAATTTTCTCTCCACCCCTTAGAAATGAATTAGCCTAGTCTGAGGCCCCAGCTGTGTGTGGGAGCTCTCTAGTTCCCAGATGTTGCTGATGTTGGAGGTCTCTGATCTGATAACAGTCAGACAGTAAAGAATGTGGGGTGGGGTCAGAGGATTCTTCCTTCATATGGTTTCTAAGAAAACTTGTTCCCACCTGTTCCTCTTGTCTTTGACTCATTTTTGAAGGGAATGGGAATAAAAATTAACATTACCAGGTAAGGCTCAGTGTACATCCACCAATAATTTTCATCAGAGAGAGGAACCAGTGCTAAGGGGATGTGTATACCAGCATAATATTGACACATAGTTGGAGCACCCTGGACACAGGTGGGGATATGCAGCACCTGCACACTGGAACAGATATTCACCTAGAGGAAAAGAGGGCTCTCAGTGTTAGGTGCTAAACATGGTTCTGGGTGCTGGGACTTAGGAGCAGACTACAATACCTGGATAAGGAGAAAGACAGGCCATGAATGCAGTTACAATGGAGGGTCACACAGGGTCTGTGCCAGTAGGAAAAAGAAAACCAAATTCGGGCTTATTGGTAGGGGAGATCAGAGAAAGTCTTCCTGAAGGAGATTAAGAAAGAGGAGTGTGCTGGGTGCAGTGGCGTAGGCCTGTAATCCCAGCGGYTTGGGAGGCTGAGGCAGGAGGATCACAATTTCTAGGCCAGCATCAGCAACTTAGTGAGGCCCTAAGCAGCTTAGCAAGACTCTGTCTCAAAATAAAAGATAAAATAAAAGGGCTGGGGATGTGGCTCAATGATTAAGTGCCCCTGGGTTCAATCTCTGGCATCCAAAAAAAGRAAAAAAAAAGAATAGAAAAAAGAAAAAAAAAAGATGTAGGCGTGTCACCAAGGATAAACTGGAACAATTTGGACTAAGTCTTTGGACAGCTGCATCATTTTGAAAAATTATTTTTATTTACCAAGAAATAATACTGRTTACCATTTATTTCATTGTCTACCATGTTTCAGATAATGGGCACACCAGATAAGACTGACCCATTTCTATTTCTACCCTGAATCTTAACTCATTACTGAGTCATGTTAAGACACTTGCACCAAAATGACATTTAGGGTATTTTGCTTCATACTATAGGGTGTGAGCTAGGGACTGGCCAACTGACTCTGTAGTTTCAGAGTTTAATATGATCTAGACCAGGGGTCAGCAAACTATGAGCCTGTGGGCCAAATTTGGCCTATTGCCTATTTTATATAATGTACAAACTAAGAATGGTTTTTACATTTTTAAAGTGTTTTCTAAGCAAAGAAAAAGAAACAAAATGAGACAAAGGCCATAGGTGGCTCATAAAGCCTAAAATAGTTATTTTCTCCTTTAGACAAAAAGTTTGCTGACCCCTAATAAAATTGTAGAAGACTTGCATTATGTCTGAATTTGAAAAACATGGTATTTGTGTCTCTGTTTGTGTGTATATGTATTAGTCTATACTTTTTTCTGTTGCAAGTATCAAAAACTCAACTCAAACCTGGTTAAGCCAATAGGAGATTAATTAGTGTACATAACTGATAAATCAAAGGATGTGTCTGCCTTCAGACCTGGATGTCTAGAGGTTCAATGATGATTTTTCTATTTCTTCACTTTACTTCCTTCTTTTTGGTCTATCTARCTCTAGCTCTGAAATCCTAGGGACAACTTTGGCCAGCTTTGGACATGAACCTATCTCTAGGATGGAAGATTGGGCCACCATAATTGACAACTTCACCAGGACTGTGAGGAGGAGAGAAATGGGTCCCCAAAGGAAGGAATGATGGGCAGATAAGCAATATGTGTTCAGTATATTTCACCCTTTATTTCATCCACCTATACTTTTCTTAATAAGCATACAATTTCAAAATGTACCTGCCTAATAATGCAGTGATTCTAAACCCAACCAAAAACATACTCACCCACTTCCAGTGGTAGAGAAAACAGTGTCATATCTAGTTGCTTTACTCATTCAGGGTCTCTTGATCAGGTATGGATATGAATTATTAAGATTTTGCAATTGATAGCTAAAAGATAAGTTTAGTTATCCCTATATAACCAATATGAAATAGCAGAGGAAAATGGGATCACAATTTTGAAAAAGTCTTCCATTTGGAATAAGGGAGAAGAGAAAACAATCTCTAATCTATAGCACACAGCAAKCACATCCTTCTAGACAGTGGAGTGAATTTCTTGATCAATAAAATTAATTGGTCTTGGTCCTTTCCATGGGGGAAATATCTCCTTTATCCATWGTTGTTTATGGACATCCCTATGATGACCCATCTATAACTGTAACATCCCACTTCCCTCTGACATGGTTTTGGGATAAAGATTGCATTAGAAATCCAGCATGCCCATATCTCTCTTTATCAGATATGTGGATTCTCTGATTCCTGGGCTCTCTGTGAACTAGTAACCATCATCAAGAATCTTTTTTTTTTTAAATTTAGTGAATGAGAGTAGCTAGGGGAAATTTTTTTTAAAGAGAGAGGGAGAGAGAGAGAGAGAGAGAGAGAGAGAATTTTTTTTAATATTTTATTTTTTAGTTTTCAGCGGACACAACATCTTTGTTTGTATGTGGTGCTGAGGATCGAACCTGGGCMGCACGCATGCCAGGCAAGCGTGCTACCGCTTGAGCCACATCCCCAGCCCCGCATCATTGAGAATCTTGCTGAGTCTTCTTCCTAGAGTTTTTTTCTAGCCTTCAGAAATATGGTTTACATCTCTAGCATCACACTTTAACTATTCCTCTCAACTTCATGGCTTCCATAGTGGCCTGTCTATGGTGGTGCTCACAAAGTCATAATTTCTATTTGATTCATGGCTCATTCATGCTCCAGTAACCTTGGCCCTGATCAGACAGTCAAAATTCCTTAGTGAAGCCAAACATGATGGTGCATGCCTATGATCTCTGTGGCTCAGGAGGCTGAGGCAGAAAGATTGCTAGTTCAAAACCAGCCTCAGCAACTTAGCAACTTAGCAAGACCCTAAAAAACTTAAAGACTCTCTCAAAGTAAAATATACAAAAAGGGCTGGAGATGTGGCTCAGTGGTTAGTGCCCCTGGGTTCAATCCCCAATTAATAAAAAAAAAAAAAAAACCCTGAGCAGTGCTAGCTCCTAGGCCTCAGTCCCAAGGAGATTCTTAGGACAGTACTGAAGCAACCAAACATACACTCATTCTGTCCAGCAATAGGCAGCTTGCTTCACTCCTCTCCCTCCAGAAAACAACCTATTATTACACTGAGTTTAAAGCACCAAAGGATGCCTGAAGAAATTCTTTCAGTTGACACTGATTATGGGGCCCTCTGATAATCTCTAGAGCGTGGGGACTGTCAGGAGAGTCTTTAGCCTTCAGCAGGTCTCCTATAATGAATTTCTCTCCTTGGATGCAACCTGGGTGTCCTGGATATGAGAGCAAAGACTTTTGGTCTGAGATGGGTTTGGTGACCTCTGTCCTTGGAAATGGCTCTCCTGTGTACTCTGACCAGATCTAGAGGCTCACCCCTGTCTCTGTGCAGCAATGCCCTCCAAAAGAGGGTGCTATGGATGTGGAGATCACAGAATCTCCTTGRTTCTTTCCAACTTTAGTTCTAATCTTTCGGCATCTACTCTTCTATGCTGGCCCCATTGTGACATGACAAAACCCAGCAGTGAATCAGAGGCTATTTGTGGCCTCTGGGCCTCCTTTCATGRTCAGTATATTTTATATTCCATTACACAGACTGGTGTTCTACCTCTTGGGTTCAGGGATCTCAGAGCCTATGCAGGCCATGCAGCTACTATCTTCCAGTCTGAGGCCTGGATCTGGATTTTCCCATCCAGGCTATATCCTGGAAGGCTGAGTTTGGTAACTAAGTCAAGTGCAAACTCAGAAAGGGCAGAGGGCCACTTTTTTTCTTCCTTCAGACACAGCTATTAAAATGTCCTCCACCTTTTAGCAGCTTGGATTGATCAAAGCCTTTAAGTGGCCATCTATTGGTGGAACTTTGAACATCTTCTAGCCTCCTACCCTCCAGCTGCCTAAGAGCACAGAGAACCAGAAGGTAGCCTGCAGGCCTAGGTAGGGCTTTTCCCAAGGGATGTCTTAGATGCTCATCAGAAAATGCAGAGGACCATGAAGAAAGCCTGTAGAATGAGCCTCAGCTTCTTGGAAAGTAGTCCAGAAATGGCTTGACCTATGACCTTGTCACTGGGTCCCTGAGAGAAAGCCAGGGGTCAGGGCTAAGTTCCCTGCATTTGAGAAGGAAAAATCTGCTGTGTTCTCAGGTCTTTTTACTACCCAACTATTAGGAATCAGTATTGAGATGGGGACTTTGATTATGTCTCTATGTCTTAACCCAGTCCTCTAGAAAACAGATTCTGAGGCAGAGGGCCAGAATTAAATGATGACTATTTGGGAAGGTGGAAGCCCAGGATAGGGGCAGAGAGAGAAGTGCAGAGAAAGGAAGCAACGTAAGACAGTGTATTACTGTGTTCACTACTATGTCACATAAATCATGAAGACAGAGCAGGTCACATGACAGTCACAAGTGTTTGCTAGGTACATGGTGTTTGCAAGGAGAAGCTGCAACTTGGAGCAGTTGTCCAATAGGAGATTTTGGAAGGAATTTATCCATCTGTTCTCCTCTCATCTGTTTTCCACTGGCCAAGGTACACCCCACAGAGAGCTAATTCCCCTAAACTTAACAGTAGCATTATTTGCTGCCTGTATGGCTTCTGGGGAAGTCAGCTCTAATGGCCTGCCACATGGAATTTCCACCAAAGTTGTGAAAGTAGAGAGATTACATGGTTTAGGCATGGTGCCACCCAAAAGAGAAAAAGGGAGGTAACCTAGAGAGTACAAGAAAGTGCATGAGGATTATGACCAATATATTCCACCTTCTTCCACAGGATTCATAGTCAAGGACCCCAGAAATCAGGCCACAGGCACTGCCTGAATTCAAAGCCAAATAAATCTTATTTAACTGTGGGAGTAGAAACATTCAGTCCCTCCCCTTTCTGGAACTTCACAAGACCTAAGCTCTAGCCTCTCTCCACCTCTGTGTTTTGTTCTCATTCACCTTAGCTTAGAGAAGAGGATTTGACTTTACACTATGCAAGATGCATGATTATTTGGCCCTTGGCATTCTGGATTTCTGGCCTAAGGCAGAAAAGGCAACTCTAAACAA